ACGGCTTCGCAGAATTTCTAAAACGAATACAGTTGAATGAAGTTGGTAATTTTAGACTGGACTTAATCTACGTTACGTAATGAATTTTAATGTCTGTTCTACACTATAACGAGTATTATAAAAAGGAAATATTTGTTTGTTTGAATTGAATAGGCTCTGAAACTACGGGACCGATTTCAAAAATTCGTTGATTTTTCGTCGGCCGATAGTTTAGTCGGGCAGTTGATCAGTATGAGCATACATGTATGGGAGTGCGCACTAGAGGTGGGCGCCGATATACAACTGGCCGGCGGCGGCGCGCCGACTTTTTGACTTCGGCGGCGGCGGCGTCGGCGGCGTGACCTTGTTTGACCTTTGTTAATTAGGTTTTTTTTAAATCTGCTTTTTTAGTATCTGTCGTCAAGACTAATCAGGTTATTTGCAGTTAGTTGGGGTTTTAGCCACTGGAGCAGTGGTTTACTTTAGTAAATTAGCTTTCTTGGTCATCGATACTTTGATATTTGGATAGCTTGATTGGCTGAGATCAGGTTCTCGTGTATTTCCTAAAGGCGAGCGTACCAATGTGCCGATAAAAGTACCCTTAACATGTATTTTTGAGCTCTTTGGAGGCACCTAGTTGTTGGATTAGCTGACTGTCGGTCGAATATTATGTTCAGATCTGTTTTATTTATATTTATGGCCTTTCCATGTCATCCTACGGTCCAGAATTTTAATGCAGGTTGATTGCAGCAATGTGTCGAGGTCTAGATTGGCCGGAGGATAAGTTTCACGTCTTAAATGATAATAATGGTGAGACTTTGGGGCTTAGGTAATTACATGCGCCACTTGGTCAGCCAAGCACCTGATTTTGCAACAGTCTAGTCGCTTTAAGATCACAGTAACATTTGAGGAAAGCCGCAGCTTTCTGGTGTCTCTGGGCTACTTTACTAGTAGATGTTATAGATAGAGTATCGGACCAAGTACAGAGTCCTGGGGTACTCCAGCTCTGCAGCTAAAAAGAGAAGATTTTGTCACCGAGTTTGATTTAAAAGAAGTGTGCTGGAAGGTACTTTTTAATTTCATAGAGTAGTCCTTTATGATAAACCCAGCTGAAGCTGCAGCGAAAGCAGACGTATAGGATTCTTTCTTTTCCAAACATTGTACTGATTATGGTTGGTGTGGTTTCTGATAAAATTTATGATCGGATATACTTTACATGGGTCATACTTAGGCAAGGGAATAAACGATTCTTTTCCATAATTTTAACAATACAAAAGTCAGATTAATTGAGCGATAGGAGAATTCGTTAGGCGACTTGCCAGCCTTATGGATCATTTCCAAAGTTAAGAGACTTGCGAGGTTCTCAGTTCTCATTCAGTATGGTCATTGTCAAGATCATGGACTTCATGGTGATCAGATCAAATGCAAGTGCTTTATGAGGGTCCGAGGGTTTGGCTATTTCTTTAGCTTAGCCATCTCTCTTATCGTTAGTTCTTTCGTTTCAGCCGAAAGTCGTCCTGCGCTGCTCGCATCCAGGCACTTCCACCTTCCTCGAATCGTCGGTCCACCTAGTCCCACTACGCCTGCCCACGCTACGTCTTCCGGCTCGTGGTCGCCACTCAAGAACTTTACTGCCTCAGCGGCCATCAGCTTCACGAGATATGTGCCCCGCCCACTGCCACTTGTTTTTAGCGATTCTGCGGGTCGATGTCAGTCACTTTGTCTTCCTGCGTCTTTCGTTCTCACTTAGCGTAGTTGGAATCAATCTTCTACTTTGAACTTGAGGAGGGTAAGCGGAAAAATGGCGGTCAACTCCTCAGATAATCAGGTACAAAGATGTCCAGAAGCAGCATACGAAAAGATGCAAAATGGGCCCTGTCAAATCACAATGGGAAGGTTTGGCAGCACAGCGCTTAGAATGGCGGGAGATTGAGTAGAGGCGAGTCCGCTAGTTCAAGGAGCAGCGCACAACTGAACTCGAAGCGAAACGCGATGATGTAAATCCCGTCCATCTGCCGCCATTCACTATAATTATGTTGGCAGCGGGCTTAGATATTCTTAATGTGTGAGGAGTTTGCTATGTAAGCCATCTTTGGGCGCACCAGCGCCGCTAAGACAACTAAGTCGAAGTGGTCACCATGACCGAAATCGGTCGGATGAATCATCATCAACAGTAGGAATCAAAGGCAGGCATAACTGCAAGTCTCAGATCAATTCAATGCTTGATCTTATTTTTTGGATTGAATTGTGTTTTTTTTTATTATCCGTGTCGATGGGTTTTAAATAAAGCGGCTTGTCATGTAGCAAAGGTCTGAGATTTTTCTTGTCAGTTCGCACTCATGTATTACCAGACCTAATAAGCGGAGAACACTTTGAGGGAGGTACTTTGTTGCCTTCCAGAGGTTGTGGTTCCCATTTAAATTGCGAGACATATTTGTATTTCTGTGTGTGATTCACTTATTAAAGTATAGTCCAATAGTGTGGGTTGTCTGCCAGACGACGGCGGGGATTTTTTTCTAGACAGCAAGAGGGATCGGCGGCCGGCACCTCTCGCGATCAATTATTGACTAGACCAAGCAGCAACTTGAATAATGTATTTGATTAACTGTTAATATAGTTATGTAGTATTAAGTTATTCAATCAATTTATTAGTATATCAACGGCTTTAAGTCCGCCTTGTGTACCAATTTATATGGCATTAAAGAATAAATATTATACAGTGTGAGTCACGTTAAAGTGTACATATGAAAACAGATGAAACTAGACCTATTTTTATCGACAAAAAAGAGGTCAAAATTTTTTTGAGATTTTTTTTAAATTTTTTATAGAATTTTTTTTCTTCCAATTACTTATTGTAAAGAAAACGTAATAACTTTTAAACTAAGCAGTATATCCTGATAAAATAAAAACAGTAATAATGCTAAATAACAGGCGATACTAAAAAAATACATACAATACACAAAAAATGCCAACAAATAATAAAAAATGATACTTTTTGAAAAAAATCTGTTTAAAAATTCGTGTTTTTTTGGTTATTTGATAAATTTCTCCGAAAAATGCCCCTATAACAGGTGGTTTTTATTGTTTTGTATTATTCTCTATTGTATTACCTTTGTAAAACCAAAAATTGCATGTCTCTATCCCTATCACAACATTTACTATGATCGTTTGAACTAAGTTGGTACAGTATCAGTATCGGCGCGCCGACAGCTGGTCGTCGGCGGCGGCGGCGTGAAAAAATTCGCGGCGGCGGCGGCGCGCCGGCGTGGCGCCCACCTCTAGTGCGCACACTACGCCGATTCGATTTGGCCGATTCTTCATACAATTTAAAATCGGGCACAACTATCGGCCAACTAAAAATCAACGGTGTGCGCCTATAGATGACCCACGCTGAACTGTCCCACCAAACTCAATGACAGGGGGGCGCTACCATCGTTCAACTATATGGTTTCCAACATGGCAAAAATCTGAACCAGCGATCCGGTATTGACGGTGGCGCCCCACTGTCAATGTCATCGACAGGACAGTCCAGTATTTTGGAACTATACTCTTAGGTTTAGCGGCACGGGAGGGTGTATTTTAGACATCAAACGTCAGCGAGACAGATTATGCTTGTCAGAGCCGAGACAGATCAACCCCCCTAGACAAAACGCACTTTTTGATCGAATCGAAAATCGAATCCATCAAAACTCCATACAAAAAAGGGGCTTTTCGACCACTTATCGACTGGTTTGCGATTATAATTTGCACTTTGTCTAGACCCACAGATTTGTATCACAATTTGTATGCTTTGTCACGTCATAATGTCAATGTTAACCCTCCCGTGCCACTCGCTCTCCCATACCTCAGGCACTTATTGAGTTGAGCGGCAGACCTATAGTATCGTATATTTTACAAATATGCCTCATTGAGACTTGTCTATGGCTTTAAAGGTCACATAATTCTTTCCAGACCATAAAGTACCACACAAAAGCGTTTCCTACAGCCGTAACCTTGCGCCTTTCAAAAGTATTTCCATTGATTCAGTGCCTCAAAGTAAAACGAATGGCATTCGTTCGGTTGCGTTCGCGGAATTCGCCGTATAGGGAAAATCGGAAAACGGGAAGCGTGTTCAATAAAAACGATCTGGAGAAGCCGGAAAAATATCCGTTATTGAAAGTTATGTTTGTTTAGGGCTAGGTCAAATGTATGTCAAACTCCATACAAAAACATCGGTTATAATTATATTTACGGTTAAAATTAAGGTGATAGAACAGTCTAGTTGTTTCAAGTTAAACGTGGCCAGTTTCATAACAAACTAAAAAAAAAGTTTAAGGCTCTCAACAAAAGTAGTATTATGGGTCTGTTTTACCAGTAGCTGATAAAGCCTTGATAGCCTGGTGGGAACTTATCTACCAGATAATGTTCTTGTAGGTACTACTTTTATGCTTTTAGCTTTACGAGTCCCCCGTAGAGATATTATATTTATGTAAAGTCACCGTCAATCAACAATAAAAAAAATATTTATAATGTTTTAGTAAAACTGTTCCAAAATGTAGAGTCGAGCTTTATTTTTCTAAATATGCTACCACAAAGGCAGTGACAGAATTTTAGATTAGCTATAAGCTATTTATTTACTTAATCTAAAACGTTGGAGACATCGTTTTATCCCATCTGTTTCTTCAGGCTTGTAAAAAGTCAATTTGTCCCGCTTCATAATAGGTCGCTGCTTGAGAAATCGGATTATTATAAAAGCTCCAACTTACGAGTATAAGGCTCTTCTAATAAAACACATCTGCCTTCCAGATTTATCGGACAATGGATTATAATTTAGTACCTAGGTAATTTCAAAATCTGAGTCTACCTCACTTTTTCGTATGGAAAGAGAATTTACCAACATCGTTTCAGGATTCCCGGAAGTACCATTCTCACTTTGTGGACTTCTAAAGGCTTTACCGGTCGAAGTTTTTAGTAAAATAGTCATAAGTGAAAATGATAAGATTTCGGATGAATATTAAAGATCGTTTTTTGTTTTGTTACAGGTGAGCAGTCCCACACAATACTTCTGGTACCGAACCACGCTTCAGATCTCCGAAGACATCAACCACCCGCAAAGCTTCAACTACAAAATTGCCTTGGCCCTCGTCATCGCCTGGATCCTCGTCTACATGTGCATGATCAAGGGCATCGCGTCCTCAGGGAAGGTCGTCTACGTAACCGCGACTTTTCCCTACATAGTACTCGTTATTTTCTTCTTCAGAGGCATAACTTTGAAGGGCATGAGCGACGGCCTGATACATTTGTTCACGCCGAAATGGCACACGATTCTGGACCCTGTTGTCTGGCTCGAAGCAGGCACGCAGATCTTCTTTTCGCTTGGCCTCGCGTTTGGGGGCTTAATTGCATTTTCCTCGTACAATCCCGTCGACAACAACTGCTATAGAGACGCGATAATGGTCTCTATGACGAATTGCTTAACATCGATGTTTGCTGGGATAGTAGTTTTCTCGATAATTGGTTTCAAAGCCACTATGGTCTACGAGAAGTGCTTGGACGTGAGGAACGAGACTTTGTTGGAAGTTTTCGGGCCGGCATACGCGTCGATGACGTTTCCCGAGGCGGGGCAGTTGGTGGAATTGGATTTGAACGGGAACTTGACGAAGTTGGTCATGCCCCATTTGCCGGAATGCGATTTACAGAAGGAATTGGATAATGTAAGTGATATTCTTCGTTATTTTTTAGATTGAAAATACCGGATGTAGAGCCTTCATGCTCTTTGCTCTTTTAGTGTCAAACTTTCCATGGCGAATTAAAAGTCTTTATGTAAAAACAAATCATTAATCTTAATAGCTTAAAAATGTTTTACATACGGCGTGGTTACAATATCCCATAATATTGTATCTACGCCGCATCATACCTATTATGTTTCCCAAAATCAAATGGGTAATACCTCAAACTCATAATTAAATTCCACGCAACGTTACCCCGCGGAAATAATCAGAATTAACATTGTGTACATACTTTTGCAGGAGTTACAGTGTACTTTGGCTTTAGGGAGTATATGTATATGCGTAGGAGGTTATTGGTTTGTTAATTTGGTCAAAAGCTTTTGTAAGATCAACCGCAGATGTTGGTTTTTGTAAGTGAAGTAGTTGCTTGGATTTAAGTAGGTACTTTTTTATACAGGGTGTCCCAAAAAGATTGTTAAGTTAATGACCAGAGGCAGAGTATTAGGCTTGATTTCCTTTTAGGCTGACATCGGTGACCGACGTCAGCGGCGCGCACTATTACACACTAGTTCTATGTAATCATCTGCCGCTGACGATGGCGTTGCAGTGCGGTGCTTCATAGAACATTGTGTTTATTCGTACTCTCGACCGATGTACGCGACCGACGTCAGCGTAGGAGGAAATTAAGCCTTACTAGGGCTTACCGAATCACTCCCTTGTATGTTCCGTGATTTTTGATAGTTTTCGAGTTTCTTCTTTAAAACTTCTTTATAAAAAATCATATTGATCATAATGGTTATGGACATCAAACATTTGAATTTGTCACTGTCCCATTTTTTCATGTAGTAGTAGGTACTTTCATCAATTAACATCTTGTTTTAAACACTTTCAGACGGCGTCAGGCACAGGCCTGGCCTTCATAATCTTCACAGAAGCCATCAACCAGTTCCCCGGCGCGCAGTTCTGGTCGGTCCTGTTCTTCCTGATGCTGTTCACCCTGGGCATAGACTCCCAATTCGGGACTCTAGAAGGAGTCGTCACCTCCATAGTGGATATGAAGCTATTCCCGAATTTGAGAAAGGAGTATTTGACGGGTGGTCTATGCCTGATCTGCTGCCTTTTGTCTATGGGCTTCGCGCATGGAGCGGGCAGCTATATCTTCCTGCTCTTTGACATGTACAGTGGAAACTTCCCGCTGCTGATCATAGCGTTCTTCGAATGTGTGGGGATCGCGTACGTGTATGGTGTGAAAAGGTGAGTTGATTTGAATATGCATGTAATTATTAAGATGTTTCTGAATAGAAGCCATAATAGCCGAACAGTGAAGGGGTTGGACTGGCCGAGTCGTGATCCGAAGAACGCGGGTTCTAATCCCGCCGCCGCTCGACTATTGTGGTAAGCCCACTCGTGATCGTGACCCAAGCATATAATTTAGCTTAGTACGAGGGGCTAACGGGAGTAATTTGTGCAATAGGAATTAATTACTAATATTCTTAAAAAGAAAAAAGTAGGTACATAAATATGCACTAATCGTTTGTTATCTGGTTAATAATACAGTTTGCTTTAGATTTTCAGTTTGTGACTAGGTAAATGGCACTGCGTAAAAATAAATACCCAAGTGCGTATATTGAAAAATTCACTTTCTTTTTCAGGTTCGCCGACGACATAGAGCTCATGACGGGCCAGCGTCCAGGGATATACTGGCTCATTTGCTGGAAGTACCTGTCTCCCCTGGCGATGCTCTCCATCCTGATATCCTCCTTCGCGGAACTAGCCATGGAGGGGTCAGGGTACGAGGCCTGGATGAAGAATGAAGGGGACACCGTGAAGAAACCCTGGCCCTTGTGGGCGGTGATGCTTGTGTTGGTGCTGGTGCTGTCTTCTGTGCTGTGGATACCTGGACTTGCTATCTGCAGGTTAGTTTTCATTTTCATAATCATCATCATTTCAGCCACAGGACGTCCAGTGCTAAACATAGGCGACCAATGATTTTCATGTTGACCGGTTGGTAGCGGCTAGCGGCCTACGTCCAGCGCCTTCCTGCTACCTTTATGATGTCGTCGGTCCACCGTGGGTAGACGTCTCAGGTTAGTTTTATAGTCACTGTATAAGAAAAATAATGGAATACTCACAGTCGGTTACTTCGGTCTTCCTGCGGTTCTCCTCACTCCCGATTCAATTACGCAGGAAAACTCTGAGCATATTACGCTCCATCGCCCTTAGGGTCACCCTTGAGTCTTCTTATGAGGCTCATAGTAAGCAACAACGTCTTCGTTCCGTATATCATCGCTGTTCATTCGTTTTCTTTCAACCTGATGTCATTCACTGCTGGAAGAGACAGTGTTTTAGTAGAAGTCGCATCGCTGTAATCGTGACCTACCTATGACGTATTATACCGTAGTAGGTATAAAGGTTCTTAACCCATATCCCGTTCACTTCCAGGTACTTCGGTTTCCCGATCATCGACGACGAGGAGCGCGCCTGGTTCCCAGCAGAAGAGTTGCGTGACTTCCACGGCATCGAACCCCGGCCCGTGTCCGCGACTGAGACATTACTGTTCTGCACCAAGCCTGATGGCAGCGAGAGCTGCTGCTGGCCGGGGTGCTGCGAAACTGATGATGATGAGTAGATTTTGTTCCCGAATTTCAGCTGTTTATTTTTTTATTGTCACATCTACATTTATACTTCTTTGAGGTGGATCCTGCCTGTAGTAGAGGTGTGGTGATACCCCACCTGTGACACGGACAGAGCTGACACGGTATGTACAGTCAGCGTCAAATAGTTCGTGGCTCCCAAAGTAGCCAAAAAGTTGATACCACAACCCAAGCCACAACCTTACTTCAATTAAGAAATGTAATGCTGGGACCACACTAACGGCTACATTATCTCGACACTGACGTAGTGAGGTGTGGCTGCTTCATCGCATTAATCTCTTTGAGCTATCGCCTAACGCCAAACGGCAATGTTAATGCCGTTATCAAATTATCGCGTTAAGTCGTGGCTACACCTACGGTTAACGTCCATTATCGCAATAATAAATTATGGCATTTCCCGTTAGTGTGGCCCGAGCATAACAAAGACGTTGAGTGGTCACATTAGGTGTCACCATTTATTTGTCGCTGACTGTACATGTCTGAAGCACATCGGAAGGTCGGAAGACTTGCTGACACTTTGACGTAAAAATCACTCTACCGCATCGTTTCACTTAGTAGGATCCTACTCAGTTAAATAACATCTGAGCGAAAATGCTTTGGCTCCTAATTTGTGATCGTTAATACGAGTAACTATAAATTAACGGTCTTTATCAACCTCATATATGGTTATGGACAATATTTAAAAGGGTAGATTATGTGGAAGGCCCAAAATTGATTAAGGGTGGATTCGACCAAATAAGAGTAAATATTATACTCAGAATAAATCGTCAATAATCGACATTTTGACATTGTATTTCCCATACTATTTTATATTATTATAATGTGCTAGTTATACCAGGAGTTATTCTCGGATAAATTGGTCGAATCGGGAATAAATGGGCATACTTTGCTACCTGCGACTCAAGGAATTCAAAGATACCTAGTAAGATAATAATTATGGTAGCAAATTCTACGTATGAGACAGATTGGGAAATTAACTTTTTGATAATCTACTCTTTACAATTTTTACTGTCTGTTACCCATCCAAAATAGTAAATCTATTGCTATTTCTCCTATAAGTTTCCTGTCAACACGTAAAGAACAGTTAGAAAAATATAGTTATACCTATGGTTATACCGATAGACACATCGTGTCAATCAATATCAATCAACGGTAGGTACTTATTATGACAATTTAGTAGATGATTTCACATCTACAATAAGCACTGATGCTAATTAGTGATCTTATGATATTTTTTATTTGTATTGTAGTAGTAGAAAATTTCGTAAAAATATACTTAATCGAATATTTATAATTAAAGATGGTTTTGCTACTATCAGCTTTTGAATAATATTTGTTTATTCGAAACGTGACAATAAAATTACGTAGCATAAGGTCGATTTATATTTGAGAGTCATTTGTTTAGAACTCTTGAAATTTTATCAATAAAAAACATAATATCTGATGGACATATCATCTAATAATACAATTTGTCCATATCTTCGAGTATCACCTCCATATCTGTACTTTTTGATAGTTAACCGAAATACATAATTATGAATACCTATTTAAAGTAGTTTGATAAATTCGTATAAAATAATACTTATTTAGGTATTTTTATGTTTTAGGAACATTGATAACTTCCATTTAAAATGTTTTACTTGTTGTGATATTTTATAATTTATGTTATTATGAACAGCGGAGAAATTAATATAATTTTCCGCTAATTTTTATATTTTAAATTACTCTTTTTTATGAAGACTGGAATATTTTGAATGTTACAAAAAACTGACAATAACTTATGACGAGGCAGCTAAAATAGCTTTTTTTGTCAAAATAATAATGTAGTTTGTGTTAGATCTAGTGAATAAAATGTGTTAAAAATCTCAGTATATTTACAAGGACAATAAAATTATTATAGTAACAATAAACTTTTGATAAAAATTCGATTAGCTATTATCATATAAAAACTGTCCATATCCTACAAACATTTTACGGTTCTATTATAATAGTAAACCTTATTTTAGTAAGGTTTTTGGAAAGTGGAGACAATAAAATGAAAACAAATATAAATAATATGCATGCCAAAAAGACAATAAATAATACGATTTTATTATTATTCTTGATAAATATCTACTTATAAAATTGTTACGCAAATATTATCTGTTTTATTTAAGTATATTAACTACTGGGTAGTTTGATTCAAATATTTAGTAAACGAGGATTACTTATCAAATCAAAATAAATAATTTATAAAAATACATAACGGAAATGTAAATGAATTGACAATAAAATAACTTTTAACCATTTTATGGCAAATTATACGAAATTTAAATTAATTTCATATAAGTGCTTAACGCATAAATAAAGTTATCTACAATATGTGATAATAATCCGTTATCTTTTTGACTAATATTGCTAGTATAGGCGGTCTTATACATAATAATTAAGAACTTATATCATGATGTACTGTAAAATCGTTGTTTATAGCTTGTGTTATCTACTTGTTATATTAGATATTTAGCGGGTAGAATAAAATAATACATAAATAATATAAGGCCAGTTGAGTCACGTTGTTATTTTGATTCTTTTTATAAAAAATATAATATGTAGGAGTTTACTATTTTTAGTGTTTTACATTTGAATCTTTTAAAAACGCATCGGCCTACTTTGTTTTCTAATTGTCTATAAATATTCATATCAAATAGGTAACGTAGTATTAAAATAACTTGTATATAAACGTAGGAATATTAACTAAGACCTATTTTTCAGTTGATTTAGGTACTCCTGTTAATTTAAATAATGCTTAATGAACCTACAACTGTTACACGTTATTTGCAGTTTAAACACGTTTCATATTTGATTGTTATTTAATCGCTAAAGCTTCTAATCGAGTCATGTCAATTAACTTTAACCAATCTTATGCATATCGCACAATAATTCTTAATTATTTAGTGTACCTGTTTGTGACAAGAGTCACTAACACAGTCCTTAGTACGCAAACGTTTCACTCAAAACAAATTTTAGAAATTAAAAATAATAATACAGCATGATTTTTGCATTAGATTCGAACTCAGATTTAGTTCAGAAAGACCACAAACTTTAAATAATATAAAATCAGGTAATGTATCATAAAACCTAACCCATGACTATAGTAAATAATAGGTAGCAATCTTTGGATAAATCAGATTTCAATGTTTTCATAGTAAATGTAGTTCACTAAGCTTAAATCTTATCGCGCAGCTTCTAATAATTCCAGTCCTTTATTTAGAAGCTAAATTAAATATTAATGTTATTTTATTTATGTTCCAATTTGTTTCGTGAATGATGAACTTGTAATGTAAAGGACTGGAATAATGTGTGGTGATTATAAATATCGTATATTTCATGGTTGCGGGGTTGCGTCCATATTTATAAGGCTTCGAGTTATGATAGAAGCGCACAAAGATATCTATTTAATTGTAGAATATCATATTTGTTTTTTAAAGAATATCAGTGTGACAGTCCGTGTAAAATTATTGTTACAAAATGTGTTGTTGAAACATTACATAATTTTGAATTTATTATGTTACAAAATGACTATTTTGATGTTGGATCGATCGCTAATAAATGTATGGGGATTATTTTTAGCGTTTTATAACATGTTACGACGACACGTAAATTTAATATAACATGTCTAACGATAACGGTCCAATGCTCTGGCGTTTATCGTTAGTCGCACACTTATATTTTCGTGAAATATTGTATTGTAAAAATAATTGAAACATAACAATTTATCATTGTGGAACTGACATTATGTGTGACTTATTTATTTTTAGTCGTCTCCCTAAGAGGTTAGATATTTGCTATCTTCGTTAAAAGTTGAATTTACACTACAAATACCTCTTAATTTTTGCCTATCTAAGAAAAGCTCAGCCAAAATGTTTTTTATTAAAGCTGTTGTCTTTAGTTAGTTAAATGTGTATTTAGGTATTATGTATAGGTAAATTACCTACTAGCTAAAGTTTACGAAGTCGTATGAGGCCTCGAATTGTTGTTTCTATGTAATACAATGTAAGCCTGATAATAATACATGTTGATGGTAAATAAACGTTCTAAAAAAGCTTTGTTTTTTACAAAACCTTTCGAATTAAAAAATACATTCTTAGTATAGTCTGGTCCGGGAGCACGTAGAATTTTGTCCAATGACCGCAAGCTACCCATCCTTATCGCTCGCGCGTAATTATATTGCTGTCGCGACTGTGGGACGGGTGCCCGCAGTGAGTGTGCGAGCGCGACAGCAACATAATTACGCGCAAGCAATAAGGATAGGTAGCTTGGGGTCATTGGACAAAATTCTACGTGCTCCCGGACCAGACTATAGTAGAAAGTAAGTTTGTGTCAACGATAAAAAAGTAGAATTCCTATGTGAAGAAAATAAAGTTTGGGAAGATTGAAAAAATGTGTTATCTGAGACACTTTATTTAATTAATCTATCTACCTACGCGATCTAAACGAAATTCCAGTCTTATTAACACATTGCTGGTACAAAAATAAATTCTGTCTGCTATAATATGTTAAGTAACATAATTCATTAACAGTTTTTTAACAGGTTACGTTATTGTACTAATTTTATACTATGGCTTTATAGGAAGGATATTGTATTAAGTAGTTAGGCTTTTAAATACATTCTCGGTATGCGTTAATAATTTACACATTTTTCTCTAAAAATATTTTTGCTAAGTATAATTAAATTAAGCAATCCTTAAAAATACAATTAGACGGGCAAAGAACGTGACTGTTCGTCGTGAGTATAAAGTTTTGTAAAGTAGTGACAAATTAATCAAGTTCACATTACAGTACTGCTAGGGTCCTGATGCCTATAGATTTTTTGTCACACATGTTTTATCAACGAGTTTTCGTATTGAATGTTACAATGTTACATAACATGTAAAACACTCCTCGACTAAATCCATAGGCAAAAAGAATGCTAATTAATAAAAAACAACTGAAAGCACAACTTGTCTGTGCTTTTCATATTTATAACATAATAAGGCTTAGAACTAAACTAATAAGGTACAATATGCAAAACGCATTTTCTTTGGGATTGGTTCCCTGCTTATTTTACGTTGAAAAAAAACCACAAAGAATGGACTTCAGACAAAAACATTCGTAACGTTTAATCTTAAGTTTGTAGCCAAGTAAAGGCACCATTTTAAGTGAAAACATAATACAAAAAATTGGATTGAAAGTTGAAAGAAAGTTTTTCAAATTCAATATCTTACTTACTATGGAAGATATTGCTTTTACACTAAAATAGTGGATATTAGGCCTAATAAGAGTACACAAGTGTGAAATTCCAGTTCAATGTAAATTGACCGCTGTAAGCGTACTTACTCATGCTAAACTTGCGTACCATGAGCTAGGAAAGTCAAGTTGCGACACATTATTAATAGGAAGTAATGTCAAAACATATTTTAATAACAACTGCTTATATTGCTTATTGAAATGACCAACGTCACCCCAAAAATTCAACTAAAGTAATGCTATCAAAAAGAAATGTAAATAGTAAATTGCTAAGTATCAACATTCTCTAAAATACCTTTGTCGTTTTCCGCTTTCTTCATCTTCTTAGCTTTTATATCGGCCATGGTCTGTTCTATAGAGCGCTGATCTTTTTTATTCTCACTTGGAACTTCTCCGTAACTTTTATTCATATTGGTCTTTTGTGCGGCTTGCACAGCTGCATCGTGACCAATGAGGTGAGCATACTTTTCTTTATAATAAGTACCGCTGAGTTCAGTGTCCTTTCCATGTTTACGTTTTCTATTTTTGTCTTCTTCAGACTCCAAAGCAGCTTGTTTCTGCATTTCCAAATGCTTTTGAGCCATTTCAGCTGCCTTTTCCTCATCCCAAATGCCACCGGCTCTTCGTACAGTCAATTCGTCTTGAGATGGTCCCTTCTCTTTGGTATACACTACAGCATATCGATCGATGCCTTCCTGGCCAAACGAGAACACCTGTAATCCGGCAGTTTCAGCAACCTCTCTGATAATTGCGCGGTACATCTGTTCCATAGGCTCAAACTGAACATATGTCTTTGAGCCGTCCTTTATGAAATTAATTACTTTCTCTTCAACTCTCTTACGGAATTTATTAACCATGTTTTTTTCTTCCTTTTTCTTTCGTTCCATGGCTTCCTTTTGCTTTTTCATGGCATTTTTCTGAGCTTCGCTAGCTGCTGGCGGTGCTTGCATGGAGCCAAGGATTGAATCTAGGAGATCCATGTTTATATTTGGTTTTCAGAGCAGAATGATGTGTAAGATATTATTTCAGAGATGCGCTGTTGCCAGCGGGTAGTGATTTTGAAGTTTTCTACTAAAGAGTCAGCCTTCAAGCCTTTGTAAGTTAACACATTTAGAGCTGTGTCGATTTGAGCACAAATTTCTCCTCCAAACGTTAATGTGTCTTCGACGAACTCTAGGATCTGTTTGAGCGGTGGTTGTAGAGGTGTTCCTTTCACTAATAAAGTAGTTGAGTTTAAGTCAATACCTTTACAACTTTCTAATAGTGCACCGTGTTTGACTGAGAGTTTATCGAACAAATCTTCCACCTTTGATCTGTAAATAAAATAAAAATGGGTTAAAAATGAATTATTTTTTGGAAAGTGTATCAATATCAGTAAACTGATAAAAAATGGAGTAGATAATGAAACAATGTGCATACCAAAGATAAAATAATGATGTGAAACCTGTCATTTATTATTTTCATTAGCATTCACTTGCATAGCCAAAATTATTTGCATTTTTATATTTTCTACCCCTATTGTAGTCATTAAATAAAGAAAAGGCTTTACTTACAATTCACACCTAATCTCAAGAATGTCTTCAGATATTCTGTTATGTAATAAAAGAGATAGTCTGGGCTGCAGATCTTCAAATTCATGTAAAGGTGTTTTGGATAGCTCGGCTCTGGAATACAAACATGATGTAATAATTAAAATATAATGCAAGCAATGTGCGATTTATAAGATGTTATAATCGATAACAAAAATTAAAATAACATGTTTTAGAGATCAGATAGAATATGACTTGATAAAATACAAGTAAAAATTAACACAGTAAATATTAAAATTCCTTGTGCTGACGACTAATAGACATGGAATAGTGTAGTCACCATTATTTCAGTAATAAACAGTAACAAATGCACACACAAAAGAAACCGTAACAACCGAGAATAGGTTAGATTATTGAAGTCAGCGAAATTCACTCAACGTTTTGGCAAACATTTATAGCTCTGCAAAAATTAATGACCAAAAGTTTTACTTACTCTTGCACGTTTCTGCAGCGTTTTATTAGTTTATTTATAGATATTGCGCAGTCCTGGCAATTTTTCAAACACGCTTTTGAAATATTGTAGAATTCTTCAAAAAATGAAAAATAATCGACGATTTGTTTTTGTATTTTATCTTCCATTATATGGGAAACATTTCTTTTCAGACAGCAGGTTTACTGCGGTCTGTAAATATCGAACGTTTTCCGCGAAATCAGAAAAAAACACAGCCGAAACTTGAATAAAATTCTGAAATGACGTTTTTGCAAGCAATGGCTGACACCTGACAGCAGCTGCACAGTAGTGACAGTGACAGTAAAATAAAGTTTAAGCAGTTAGTCAAAATACAATTCAAATCAATAATTTATTAAGTCTCCCTTATATATATATATATTTCATCAACTAGTTTTTGAATTAACGTGGATAAACATATTTTTTTAAGATGAGATATAGATAGCGTACTTAATTTATTTAGTAATCAAAAAGACAGTAATTATATAGTGCATTAAACAAGCTCCGTAAATAACTTTAAGGGGCAATGACACTAGGGATGTACGCAGTACCCTAGTTAAAAACCGGTTAACTGTCCTACACCTAGACTAATATTAAATATAGTAACAAAAACGAAGTTAAAAAAATACATAAAACTCGTAGTTCACACTATTCTGCTACGATAATGTTGTATAGCAGAGAAAAATGATTTAACTTTCTTTCTCATATTAGCTTTATCAAACAACTTCGTGTACATTCGGGGAAGCTCGGATATGATCGGAGACTGGTCGATTGCAATCGGTTAACTGTCAAAACATGAACCAATGGTTGCCCTCGCTGAGTGCCCTCAAAAAACAGCAGTCTCGACTTTCTTCAGATGGAGAATGTACGTCCGTCTTCGTCGCGATTTATTTCGATATAAACACGTCACAGATTTCGGTAAAAGGTGTGCTTAAATGAATAAAGTTCTCCGTTTCGTATGATGGCAGAGGAGTGTTTTTTATGTGATTTTCAAAATTAAAAAAAGGAATAAAAAGTGTCATCTCCAAAATGAATGGCAAAATGCACAGTGAAACCGGCGCTTTCTCGTCTGACGGCATGCGAGCCGAAATACTGAACCCTTTCGTTCACAAATTGGAACTAGACAACACGTTTGATAAAATTAAGGTAATTTTATTTTACTTGTCCTGCTAGAAAGTAGAGAAACATAAATGGATTAGTAAATAGTTGAACGTGGAGCTTAAGGCTCTTTTTGCGCAGACTCGAGATGAGCAATCATTTAAGGGGATGGGAAAATTGAAAATAATGATTAAATAAGACAAATATACAAACAATCCCGAAGATAAAAACAAACAGAAAAATTATTCAAATCAGAATGTAGGTAGTACATTACAAAGTACCTACAAAGAAAAATAATTTATTAATTCAAGAAGTGTTGCTAATAATGGAGCCATTCAAATTATACGATTAACAAATATTGTTTCAAGATCCAATTTGGTAGGGTTACGTCTATGCAGGACCTTGTGATGGTCCTGAATTGAATACTAAACAGAACATAGCCTTGAGCAATTACAATATTGCCCCAACAAATGAAAATCCTCAGGGAAAACGACTCAATGTCTCAGTGCAGAGCATACTGATGGCTTATGTAGAATATACCTACCATAAAAATGAAGAAAATACATATAGAAGAAACTTAAAAAAAAAACTACATTATCTAAACAAACAAAATTAAATGAAAATATACAGAAAATTTGCAATTTCAGCAAAAGTTTAGTTGGACGAGTTAATTATACGTAATAGAAACACGTCGCATAGGTAGGTACGAAATAAATACCGGAAGATTGAGTTGTGCTGACTGCCGAAACGGGTTTTTCACATTAGTTGAAATATAATTTACGCGAATTTTTAATTACTAAGAATCTAAAAACTTGCCCATGACGTTCAAAAAGCACTCACGCATCCAATTTATTATTATTTATCTGTAAAAAAGAATAGATCTTTTTGAGATTGCTTCTGTCATTTAGAAAAATTTTATTCGAAAACTATGATAAATAATATTACTAAGAAAAAGTATAACTTATAAATTCAAAATCGGTCAATCAACACTAAAGTCAGCACCAACCAAAAATTTAAATAACTATGAACAAAAAGTAGGACAGATTTTAAGCCAGTAAAGATTTTACAAAGAATGCTGTTAAGTATATTTTATGTACGTAAAATGCAAACTTGTTTGAATGAGAATTACTGTGAAACTTGATCTAATCCACATTAAAACGTTTGCCTCCTATCACATAAAAAAAAAAAAAACGTAGAAATATTTTTTGAGCACAAGAATTTAACTATGTTAGAAGAAAAAAAAAATTGATGATCTAGATAGGTCCCTGTTTGTATGGAGTTCTCAAATTTGTATATCAATAAGAGGGTTATTTGAGTACATAAAATATTTATTTAGGCATTGATTGAGTCATTTTGTACTATACTATCTTATCGTTCGATAAATCAAGTTAGACATCATAAACATAACAAGACATCAACTTTCGCCGTCGAACAGTGCAGATAACGTGATCGTTGAGGTAATAGTTAAACAGGAAATAATTACTAAAAACGGTTTAATGTGAACGCTGGATGTTGGTCTCAAAGTTATACTTAATGTGACGTAATATGAAGGAAAGTGAAAGCGAAATAAAGATTATGGCAACAACTCTTTGGCACGATCATAATGACTTGTGACTGGTGTCAAGAAATAGCGCGTGCACGCGTCAGGTAGGGTAGCGACTAAGGAATCGAATCGGGAAAACTGGAATTGTTGCATCATTTAATTTTGAAAATGTATAAAGTGCCCTGAGACTAATGAAAAGTCATCATTCTTATGCGAAGAACATGGCATCAATTTAAAGCTAGGTAGCCAATTTTTAGGCATGAGGAAATTATTTAAAAACTGACTCATTCAAATTGTTCATGCAGCTTGTCATCTAGCTAGCATGACATGTCCTCTACTATTCTGACGTAAATGTGCGTGAGTAAAATTTTACTTGTTGAGTCAAAATGATGAAACAAATTAATTAGAAATGTCAATATTTGTAAAATTTTCTAAAAAGAGTGAAATTAACTATGTATTCAAAGAGTAAATCACAGAAGTAGACGAGAGAGTACCTAGCTACTAAAATATAACGGGGATTTTGTGAATGAAATACAAATAGATAAGAGAACCATGCGGGTTCCACGGACTTTACATCATTACTCTCTGACGCCGACAATGACCTTTGCAAGTGCCAAACATCCATGTTTACATAACACATTTTGGGGACGCGATGTTTGACTACAATCAACGACGATGGAAATGTATGGTGATGATGGATTGGAATCATACGACGATATTAGTGGTAAAAGCAAAATTTTCATCTGGGTACTTTTCTTAAAATTTACGCCGAATGTAAAAAAAAACAACAGTGTAATCTTTTTAAGTATTAAAACTCAATCAGTGAACTGAATGTCTTAAACTTTACATGGTACACGAAAGCTTCAAATTGGGGATAATTAGGACTTAAATCTTTGGTAAACTGGTATCTGTAAACAATTTGGACACTGATTCTTTGAAGATGATTAAGACATTGCATAATTGTTCTGAGAAGAATAAGAAAACTGTAAGACTGGGTATCAATTACGATAATTATAAATAACATAGCTAATTATTACATATTTCATAATTCATCAGTTTAGCCCTCAGGCGTATTTGCAGATAACCCATTTACCAGTAATGTTATGTACCAAATGAATCTTAACAGCACAATAAAACTAAGAAAACAGAATTATCTTCATAAAACGTGTGCCAAAAACACATGTTGAGAGAAACTTAAATCTAATGAAGTCAAATATTTCAACATTACACCCATTTCATGTCCATTACCATAAAATTTTAGAAGAAAAATTTTGATTAATGATTTCGACTTTCTAAAAAATTGTAATGTTTGACATTTGAACTTTGAGGTGAAAGTCTAGGTTTTAACTCGTTACATGAAGATGAACGAGGAAGTGATTTATTTCCAATAACAGAGTAGCAAGTGCGCTAATGATTATCAAATGATCTTCTGCCGTGGCCGTCTGTAACGTCCTGTACATGCAATACATTAATGACGAGTATGACAATGATTCTCATATTTTTCGATCTCAGATCAAGCCTTATTCAAAAGCTGAATTTACCAATTGGTTGAGAATGAGAGCAGTTTCAAACATAGCAGAAATACAGTTGGTTATAATAATTATAATAAAATGTTTACAAGTAACGCTACAATAATAAGAGTCAGCAGTGAAAGTTCCGTCATCCAATGGATTTGTTAAAGCGTAAGCGGTCAGCCAACCAAGCGATCTTAGAGACAAAACAAATATTGATTTTTCAACGATGTGAACAGCCTACAGAGCAATGAAAGCTTTATGTAATTACCGCGAACTGATTTTACTTTGGTGTTCAGTTTATAATTTGAATGAATATAGATATTTTGTGGATGAAAGTGGTTTTATTGGTTCCAGTCATCAAGTAGGCTGTGATAAATAATATTTTTAAGATAGAATAATTTTAGCTAGAGTGAACAAAGGATTAGTTCATTGATTGAATCCTTACATTTGGCTAATAAATAATTCATGTAACCTACATGATACCCAAATGAACAATCATAACTGCAATGATAAAGTTCGCATGTACCGTATGGGTAAACACATTTACATACAAAAATATGAAATTACCATTAATTTAATAGAAGAAGAAATTTCGTGACTTATTATAGCACTAACAGATATTGATGGTAATGATTTAAAAAAAATATTATTGTCATTAATAATTATTAGTACGGAGCAGTATTTTTCATGAATGAGTCACATAGATTTTAAAAGGATTTGTGAAAGAGATGTAGCCTGATTGTTCAGTTTTAATAAGGCTGAAAACCTGTTACCCGTTGATTGCAAAATAAGTTACTTTCAAGCAACTAAAGAAAATGCAGATAAGTTCACCATCTCTTCGTACCTAACTGTTCTTTTCTCAAATAAAACTTTTAAAGTCTCAGGCGTTGTTCGTGTAGCCGCATTGCGATCGATTCCACTTCTTAGGATTCAACGTTTTATGTTTTATTCAATTTTATTAAAGTTCTTTATTCTTTGTTTCAGACTGCTATCTTCACAGTCATATTGCTACCGTTTCGAGTGATAGTGATATGTTACTTAATAGTAACTGCGTGGTTCCTAGCGTGTATAGGCCTTTATGGTCTAAGTGAGGATGATCTAAGGAAAAAGCCCATGACAGGATGGAGAAGGTTTGTTTTGTTTTTTCCTCTAATAAAAACTCGTTAAGATTACTCTCTGGGTGTGTATAGAATACCCCAAAGAATGGCCAATTAATTATTTATTTTTGAACATAAAAAATTAAACGTAAAGTCTACATAGAATTAATCAAAAATCAATTTACCGGTATTTTCGGGATACTGTGTGCACATCACTATTTACGGTCAAAAATCGAAAATAAAATGGCGCGAAGTCACCAATAGCGCTGAGTTTTTATTTTGAAGTAACTTTTTAGTAACTGTTTAATTAATATTAAAATAATCATAATTCTCTGACACATCCAGGGGGTACTAAGTAGTAATTGGAGGCTGTTTAATACAAAACAAATTGTAACTCTACTTATGAGACATTAACTGTTTTGCATTGCATTTTAGCTCACGAATTTATAAGTATTGTAGTTTACGCGTGGAAATTATTTTATTGAACAGCCTCAATATATTACTTAATAATTCAAGCTAATTTTAATAAAAACAAAAACAGTACTATAATAGAGATCCTAACACCGCTTGTAATTGTAGTAAACTATCGTTCAAGACTTTGTGATTTTTAATTTTCCGATTCTCTAAGCTTATGTTCATACGTTGTTCTATTCTGTATCCCATAGTTATTCTGTCCAATCATGTAAGTAAGTAGATACAAACTTTAAAGAAGTAATCGTTTGGTAGAGCCACTACGCGAGAACATAAAGTTATGTAGGTAAACGTATTGATTTCGCTGTAACGAAAAAGTTATATTTTCGTTACAGCGAAATCAATACCTACGTTTTGGACAGAAAGTAACATAGCATGCAAGCGGTATTATAGCACTGTTTTATTTCTTAAAATTATAAGGGTAATGGCTAATATTACTTATATTACAGCTAAGTTAGATTTCGTCTAATGTTTGTGGTCGGCAGATACAGTTGTATGTCAGTATTGTCAGTCATTAAGTTGAAACTGTGATTTTAGTACTTTTTGTCTGGTTTTCGTTTTGTTTTTGTCTATAATTGCTGCTCAGCGAGAATGACCTTCGTTATTTTGGAGTTCTCTACCTATCAATAGGTATTTAAAATCGAACTGAATTTTGAGTTAGTACCTAATAGGTAACTACCACAATAAAAGAGTCCCCATTTATATTAAAAGTAGATTTTAAATCAGAGAAAGTGTCAGTTTAAGATAAATTACTGACGCTAAATAAGATGCAAAATCAGTAAAACCTATATAAGATTTATGCTTAGGCACTTTCAATGTGCTCAGAGTATGGATAGCTCTCAACCCAAGTAAGTACAGGTAGACAACGTTATGTTTCTTTTACCGAATCGTATAGAATTTAATACTATCTCGGTACAAGTGCATTATCAAGAGAGCACTCCTAGAGATTTCGATATCAAAGTAGGTTTAAAATAACAATTAAGCAATAAATACTACGTAGAAATAATGTGGAAGAAGTTCGAATTCTCAAGCGTAGTGAAGTGACAATGTTTTCAGGCACTTATTTCGTCGTACGTCGAGGACACTATTTTAAATCGATGCTGACTGTAACTAAATTGAAACTGGAAATGGCATCAACCTTTGTTGTCTGACATTGAGACTGCAGGAGCATTGTTGTTAGGAAATGGTTCAAGGCAGCTGTAAGCAGCCATGAAGGCTTTGTCTGCGTTAACGTTGCGAATTCAATTTTGACGATTTCAACTTTTTGTGCTAGCGCCAATGTCAACGATGTCAACATAGTTTAGGTTGTTACTAACGCGCCTTGGCGTGTAAATTACAAATAATTATTATGGATGTAGACTATGTAATATTACGAGTAAATAATTTAGAAATTTAAATTTTGCCTCATCTGCTGTATTAAACATGCAACATGTCGTGGTGTATGAACTAGTTTGATATACTATACAGGGTGGAAACGTTAAGTGATCTCACTCGATTATTTCTAAACTATACAAAATATCAACAAACTAGTTACTGATCCTGAAAGTGCTTCATGAGCTCTATCAAACGGTATTAATAATAAGTTACAGAATAAACTGGATCTATCTGAAAAATCAATGTTTCCAGCTTCCATACATTTGGTAACGGCACATTATTTTAAAAACTACACATGATAACGTAAAACTGATTACTGATTCTAAAAGTGCTTCACAAGCCCTATTCAATGGTATCAATAATAGGTTACAGAATAAACTGGATCTATCCGAAAATTCAATGTTTCCTTCTTCCATACATTTAGTACCACAGTCATGACACTCATCTCTTGACAATATTATAGCAAGTAAAGCCTAAAACCAATGTTTTCTATGAATAATTTACAATAAGAATACAATTTACGAGTTTATTTTAAGAGTTTATTGTTAAATAAAAAAAAATACACTTCTAATATTGTGTGTCTGGCATACATTTAGTATGGAAGCTGCAAACATTGAATTTTCAGATAGATCCAGTTTATTCTGTAACCTATTATTGGTACCGTTTGAAAGAGGTCATGAAGCACTTTCAGGATCAGTAACCAGTTTTTCAATATCTTGTTAGTTTATAAATAATCGAGTGAGATCACTTAACGTTTCCACCCTGTAGATAAACACTCTATTGTACACCACACCAAACTAGAAAATAAAGAAATACCCAAAAGAGATGCCACAATTTAGTCGGTCTTATCGATGTAAAGGGATCTCATCCAGACAGCCTAGAGGACAGTTGCTTAGGAATTGATTTGCACAGCCTTAAAGCACAAGTACAGTGTCAAACTATTTTTTGTTGCAAATTAAGTCACTCCTAGTAGGTCTAATGTTTAACTCAGTGAGTGCCTGAGCAGCAAGAGGGTGTTTTTGAGACCTCAAACGTTAGCGAGGCTTTAGATAAAATATGCTTCTTAATGAGGGCTGGAGTGGACGTCCTGTGGCTGAAATGATGATGATGATGAATGAGGGCTATCGTTTTAGCGCTCACCAGTTAGCGCCACTGTAGAGTAAGGTCCTGTCACTTGCTAGTCGCGAAGACAGTGGCGCCAACTTGTGAGCGCTAAAGTGGTAGGAGGACTATCGCATTTGCACTCATCAAGATGGCGCCACTGTAGAGTAAGGTCCTGTTAATTGCCAGGGGTGCCAACTGTTAAGTATAAAAACGATAGCCCTCATTGCATAGACGCCTCAGTATTTAGCTTGATGTACCGTCATTACCTACTATAAACGGGCATAATCAGCCACAACCACGCCACACATGAACTAACGTGCAATATTCTCTTTTCATTTAGTTTTACAAGATTTTTATTTACTTTCACTTATTCCGGTAACTCGGAGTTCCACGACCTGTGTATGTAATTGAGTGCACTCTTCAGCACACGAGAACGTTCTGTTGCAAAATGACATCTAGGTACTGGCATTACGCTGGATTAGCCATCTTCGTACTTATTTCTTTACAAATTGAGAATAAAATACAATAAATAAATGGTTTATTCATTAAAATAAGAGCATTATAAAAACTTATTTTGCTAGAGTTTACATAAATAGTTCATAGTCTTTAAGTAGTCTCTAGTAGCCTGAGCTAGGTTAAAAACCTGTGTTTCAGGCGAAAAAAGGTCACACGTTAAATGACACTGGTGCAATATTAGACCGATCTGATAATAAAGTTGAAGATATAAAGATAATAGGTACCTATTAGCTTATCATTTAATTTTGTAATTCAATTAGGTTAATTTGAAATTAGAATACCCCCTTTTATTTAAAAGTACATTTCAGGCTTAATCAAACTGATTTCGTGCTTCAGAGCACATTAAACCGTCAGTGCAATTAAAGCATGGCAGTGCTCATATTAAATCTGACACTGGGGTTGTGACCTCAGCTGCGAGAACCTACATTATGAACATTACTTTTGGCAAAATACTATACCTGATGCATGTCGCACAGCACGGATGCTGTACATTAAGCACGATATTCAGCCGCTTGTGAAGAAAAATTCCATTAAATACCAGTTTACATAATAAAATAAGTATGTAAATACATAGTATTTCCAATAAATAATGCGAGCGACGCCGCTGGCGAATGCTATACAAATAAATTAGCGTAGTGAGAGAGCGACTGCGCGCTAAGCCTCCATCAAATACCGTTACCCAACCAAATCGTTAGCAGCCGTAATAAAAACGTTATTTTAGTTGTATTCATCGCATTTCAAACATAAATGAATGTAAATATTGCCGATATTTTAAGGTTAAAAATTGTTTGTAGGTACTTACCTATTGCCCGAACTGGAAGTAGCCAGCAAGTAATCTGAAAAAAAAAGAAAATATTTATTTATCCAAGATATAAAACGTAACATATCGATAAAGGCACAGTAGTACACAGCACGTTGGATGGACTGACGATATTATGTAGAATATTAGCGTACCTACATAGTAGTAGTTTAGTTAGATGTTAAAAGTAGGAGAGTGCTTTGTAGCTCTTCTATGTAGGTACAGCCTTCTTCGACTTTATGTAAATGACTTATGACTTTTATCAAATAAAAACTGTAAAAAACCCATTTTTTGTCAGTTTCATATTATTCCACGTATTGATTTTACTTTTTAGGTGTGCACTATTGTTTGAAGTAAATTCGCGGCATGGCATTTACGTCGATCCAACTTTCTTATGAATGTGTGTCAGTCTCGGCACCAATAGGCTCGTAGGGCTACCACTTATTCATAGCAGTTAACACATTTCTTTGCTATGTTATTAGATTAGAGATCAGTGTGCTTACCATGAGTTTACATTAGGTGTGCTCGCTAGCGACTGCGTAAAAAAATGACGTTTATGACAGATTGTACAGCGCCCTTAGCGTGTACTTCCTAGAACTAAAATTTTCATATATTTTTTTGCTTAATACTTTGCTTAAAGCACACCTAATGTATACTCATGGTAAGCACACAATCATATACCTATTTACAGTAAAATATAAACTGGAGTTTAATGATTCTGTAAGCAGTGTTTATTTTTTGTTTTGATATCAATTTTAAATCAAACACTGAGGAGAGATTCATTACTCAGCGAGATATGGTCATGCCGATTGGGATTTCGACAGAACACCAAAATAATTAAAGACAAAACCCGTGGCACGAGTAGTACCTACTTACTACAATGTAGGTCATCATGTTTTGATAGATTTAGATGTTTTATAGTCAAGGGTGTCGATTTCTATATCGGATAATCAAGGTTGGGTTAAAAGTAGTCGTTAGAAGTTGGCAGCCCTACGCTCGATGGCGATTTCTTCGTGACCTTGATGACGAGACGACACGAGGTCATCTGTGACGCCTTCAACGACTCTATGTGACATGGCATCAACTATATGACATACACAAGTAACATCACCATACTTTAGTTAGTACAAACAATGGCACTCTCTATGTGATATGGTACCAATTTTTCACATCATTATAACATAAGAAAGTAGAAATCGGTTGCAAAATTATTCCTAATATAATACAACAATAAAAGACTCTGCTGTATATTTTGATTTGACGTATCATCGTCTACGAGTATTCACGGATCTTCTAATGTAAAAAGCAGTAAGAAGAAAAACAAAAAGAGTCATTTAGGACCTTTCAATGGCAAGGAATAGAGTATTATTTCATGTTAATTTCATAAAATTTCCGTTCCTTTACAATCTCTTTCATCTCCTTCATTCAATTATCCATCCACCAATATTGCTTTAATTCTTTTTTAAAAGGTTTTTAGAGAGTTTTCTTGCCCTAATTTCAATAAATACTAATAAAATATAGTATTTATATATTTAGTCACAAATGTTCGCATTTCACGCATTTAATAAATATTAAGTAAACGGTTGAGCATTTAACGGTAATAGTGCGTACATTCTGACTACTTGAGATACAGCTTACCTACCTAGTTCAGGTGTCAGCCCATCATAGCCAATGTTTTAATGTAAACTAGCATAGTTTATGTTTTAGAATGTAAAATGTATAACTACCTTGTTTGTATAACGGTTATGGTGAGAAATAAACGATATTATTATTGGTCTCAACATAGGCGTGTTGCGTCAGTTCATACTGGCAACAATCGAAAGTTGTCAAAATCCAATCTATTTTTGGATTTCGCGAGTCTACTAACGTTTTATGGCTATTACAGTTATGTTTATGGCATGGCATTTTGACGCGTCAGTCCTATGAGCTATGAAGTCTTTAATTATATTATTTACTAGCTTTTGTCCGCGGCTTCACCCACGTGAATTTTAGTTTGTCACAGATAAATTATAGCCTATGTTATTCTGGGTTATAAACAATAATACTGTAAAGTTTCATCGAATCCGTTCAGTAGTTTTTGCGTGAAAGAGTAACAAACATCCAGATATCCAAACTTTCGCATATAATAGGTATTAGTAGGATAATCAAAGTATAGTACGAGTAAAACTCGACTCATCTCACGAAGTTTTCACTTATTCATGGTTTAATAACCCAACTTTTAACTGTAACCCGCAATTATAATGTTTATGGTGGCCATAGAGCTACGGGACCGTTAAAGTGTAGAGCCTAGCATTATTTATCTGTGGTAGAGCGACGCTTGACACACATCCCTGTCACCGATGTTCACTCGACATCGCTTGACATCAATTTCTTACGCATGATTATTTGAAAATTGCACTTAATGTCTTATTTGCAGACAGTTTTTTGTAGTTATGGGTTACTTCAAAATCAATAATGAGATTTGGCTAGAATCTTGCGTGTGCTAAAACATAATGAGGCAGACCGTAGTGTGTTAGTGTGAAAGTTATTAAACTTCGCCAGTAGTAGGTAGATAATGTCAACGTGAAATTGTGAACTCCGTCAGTGAGATTGTGAACTAACGTGATTATAATCTAAGTAGGTACCACGTCAGATTATAATCTGACTGAATATTCATAATTTTACAGAAAGAGAGCTTAGACTCTAAGCTCTCTTTCTGTTTTAGAATAAAAAAATGTGACCTCTAAGCCTTAGAGGTCACATTTTTTTATTCTAAAACAAATGCAAAGATGCTTAAATTTTTTTACTTATTTTTTATAATTTTTCCATGAAAAACGGTAATTTCATTGCCTCTCGCAGTGCTCCACATTTTGCATTTGTTTTCCTCGATTGGCTAAGTATTTGGTGCATGCATGCAATGGTGTAAGGTTTCGTCACCACACTCACTTGCAGTAAACTTGTATACAGTTGTATTATCATGAAACGGCTCAACAAATTGTACTTAGGTAGACTATACAAATGAGAAAGCTTTTTCTGTTTGTTTGTTTACCTACTTAGTACGCTAAAATTACTCGTATTTAAATTAAATCAAATAAAAATAAACTAGCGACCCGCCCCTGCTTTACACAGGGTCTACATGTATTATACTTAAAAACCTTCCTCTTGAACCATCCACTCTATCTATTAAAAAAACGCATCAAAATTCGTTGCGTATTTTTAAAGATTCGTTGCGTATTTTTAAAGATCGCATACATAGGGATAGACAGAAAAGCGACTTTGTTTTATAATAAGTAGTGATGTCACTTGAAAAAATAATTCCAAACTCCTTCTATGACTTATCGAAATGAAGTAATTAGATCTACGTTACGGAGGGCCCCTAGCCCCCTACTTAGGAGGGCGGAACCCATGCATTCCGATCTAATGTAGGCACCTATTTGTAATAACAGATTCATTCTTCGAATGTATTGAAAGTAACATCATATCAGACTATGCATTTTTGTTGCATTATAGCGCTTATTCCAACTACGTAAGAGACCGCTCTGTTGTACTTGATGTGCCATCTTCTGTAGGGCACAACGGATGATTGAGAAAGCTTTGGAGCTCCCGCTGTGCATATAATGCATGCTATTGGATCAGTTGATGAGCTATTAGCAAAGAAATCAGTATAGAGTCATCAATCTACTGATATCATCATCATCATGGAGGCGACAATAGACCAACGGTAAAAAAAAATTGTTGTGAAGCTGTGAGGTTCACCAGCATAATAAATATGTATCATTCGTTATCATCATGAAACCTTCCGCCTCATACTAATTAGCTAAAAGGTGAACATAAAGTTTACTGTTGCTTTATGTTGACACATTTTAGCTTTTATTGTGCACAATGTCACTTCTTATCAATTTATGATTTTGTGAAATGAAGGAGACAAAATGACAAAAGGTTTTAGTTATAATATATTATCTCCTACATCCATTGAAATTCTTTATTTTTAATCAAATTTCCAAAAAGTAGGTACATAAGGATCGAAGACTGAAAAATCTAGAATAGATTTTAATAAGATTACTTCCTAATATCATTTAATTATTACAATATTTTTTTTATGTGACAGGAGGCCAACTAGCAAACAATCTTAGCAATATCCTTTTTTCTCGTCACAACCGTTACCACCTCACATGTAAAAGAGAGATCGTGATTAGCAACAACAACAATTAATTCAAGTGTTTTGCCGAACTGTTGTGGCGAAGTGAAAGGGCTGACACAAGCAAACGCCAAATGCCGGCCGGACCGTGTCTGCTTCGAAATACAAACCCATCAACTTAATGAACATCTATTCAACCTATGTATTATATGAAGGATATAGATTACAGATATGTATGATATTAAAAGGAGACTGAAACTTCTGGGCCCTAAATGTAACTAGTTGATATATTGTCTAAAAAAATGGTCATATTTTTCCATACTAAACTACAAAAAATCAGCCTATNCATTTACTGGATATAAACAAACATAATAAACTCTCCACAATACGAGTGGCAAATAATCGCAGTATTAAGTACAAATCCTGTTTCCAATGTTTAGAACGTACAGTCCATAGTCCAAACTGTTTGTTGTAAAATCGCACTTGTTACAACTAAATAAGATTCCTCACTGTACCTTTGTTCAGTTTTACAGCAGCCACTGAAACTTAATTTCTCGTTTAATTTCCGCCCGCCCAAGATCGGGCGTGTGGCCTGAAAGTGGGTCTAGCCTTCCGACAACTGTGGTCTCTTTTGTTATCGTAATAGGTTCTAGATTTCTATAATTCTATAGTGCGATTAGATATCCAGGAAGCTTAATTTCTCGTAAAGGTACTTTTAAATTCTATAGTGCGACTAGATAATAATATCCAGGGAGCCTAATTTCTGGTAAAGGTAGGTTTAAGGTGTAACGTTACGTGTTAATGAAAAAGCGCAAAACCTGAAATTAGTTTGTTCGGAATCGAGAGTAGAATCGATTCCACTAATAAAAAATTAGGGTAAATTTAGGGTTAACCAAAAAACATTTTTTTATTACGCCGTGTTTAATCGTTACTTAACTCTATTATCAGAGGTGAATGAACTATCTACGTTAACTACTAACCTACTCATAGGCGTGCATGCCTTGCAATCAGCGTGTGAAAGGTCAATACGTTTCCAGAAATGCGTAAAAGTGCGCGGGGCCAAACAAAAAGAGTGAATATCTTCGTAAATAATCCGCGAAATTAATTATAATGATTTACATATTTTTTTATAATAAATAAGTTGCGGTTTTTGAGGTATTGCGCTTTTTCATTAACACGTTGTAGAGCGTAATTTTGTTGATGTGGTTAATTCAATTACCTATGTAAAACATAGTTTCACTTGAATCTTAACTTTTTTTTACATCCGACGACCGCTCTATGCTACTTATGGAATTATACGATACGAATCCGTCTCGCACTTGCCGTTTTTAATATATTTAATTCATAGAGTTTTATGAGATTTTTATGTAATCTAGTAGTGTTCATCTACGTTGGTAAGAGTTTACTTCCTTAGTACCTAGTCTATACTACAAAATTCTGATTATCATCCCATGCAAATTCATGCAATAAGACTTTTTTCAATAGTTACTACGTACTTACATATTTAACTACAGAAGTTGTAGCGAACTGAACATAAAACTAATAGCAGTAGGTCTGTATCTCCAAGAAAAGTCTCCAGGAACCTCATACTGGTACTGATAACAGCACTGAGCATGCACTGTGCAAACTAATTACTGCTTAAGCAAGTCGTGCTATCACGAATAACATTACAGCCGTACAGGTCCAAGTTTCAACCGCGCACAGACACGATTGTAGTAATATTGTCTAAGTATTAAGAAATTAAAAAGCTATATTCAAGACTCTCCTAGAAAAAGTAACATTTGTGTCAGTTTTATTTTCGAAATAGTTTCCTAGAGTGAAGTAACTGCAAAAAAACCGCCGGAGCGTAATGTAACTTTGTCTAGGGGGCAGGGATTTCTTACACAAATATATAAGTTGTATGTAGATTATCTGACAGATAATTTTCAAGTATCAGGGACTTTATGAGCAAGTGATGATGACCCTAGCTTTCATATATTTTCTTGCATAAGGACGGAAGTTATAATTTATTTGTGTTGTTCTTCAGTTTCCTAAAATATCGTGAGTTTAAATACCTAGGTAAGTAAATGATACTATCCATTATGAGCGATTTTCATATGATCCGATTACTTATCAGATGATCCCAGAAGAGAACTTTTGCCGATACCTAATTCATTTACTATACTTTTCTAATCAAACTTCCAGCCTACTCTCCTATCTTTTACACATTGTGACTTGTAATAAAACTTTGATTAGTGGTAGAACATTTCGCACTAGTACAGTCGACAGCATAACAGACACATTTTTGTGAAATAGTACCTAGTTATTACAACTATATTAGAAACAACAGAATTTAGCTTGACGTACACACGGCCACAGTGTTAACTATTAATTTCCGTTTTTGCTCTCGCTGTCATCAAATTGTGATTATTTGCGATAGAACTAGACGACATGACCGGCAATGCGTAGTTAACACTGTTGAACACAATTCCTAAAATAATTTCATGATTTTGAAGAAAACTATGTAATTACGAGTAAATATACATGTCATTATTATATTTAAAAACAAAGCAACGTATTGTTATAGTTTATTCCCATGTTTACGAGCTATATATGTATAATAGTAGTTTTTTTCGCTAGAAATACAACAATGTTGTTTGTTAGATAGTTAAAGAACCCTAAAGCACCTTCACAATTCGTTCGTTCATTCGATCATTTCAGCCGAAAGACGTCGGCCTCCCCCAAGGCCTTCACAATTCAAAAAATAAATATTATTATATCGCAAACAATCATTATTTACCCTTTACTTAATCTAAAGTGTGTTCAAATTCTAACTTCCGATTCCTTATTTGAAGGTAGAGTATTGTTTTCCACTGGCTAACAGCCCGCAGGCGAAACGAAGATGAAATTGCTTGTGTAATTGCAAAACTTTTACTATTAATATTGTAAATTCAGTTTGTTATCAAAGGTCTGGAACTTATAAATGTTAGTTCACAGAAGTTCATTACTTAGAGATAATATTTACTAATGTTTATTCGTGCTAAAATGGTTTAGGATACGAAATCCTGCTGTATTTATAATCTAAGAGCTGTATGTTTCTTAAATAAATAAATAAAGGAGACTGAAACTTCTGGGCCCTAAATGTAACTAGTTGATATATGGTCTAAAAAAATGGTCATATTTTTCCATACAAAACTACGAAAAATCAGCCTATTTTTCTTTCTGGAAACTGTGTAATAAGAAAAACAAGATTTTTAAGCATTTACTAGTAAATCGATTAAAGAAGTATCGATTTATGTAAATGAGATCNGTTATCAAATATGACATCCTGCACATAGGTATTGTAACTGCGCAGCTTTGCGCGCAAGCACTCATGACACGTTCTCACACTATTTTGCTATGTCGGCGTTGTTGGAGTAGCTCTATTATTATTTATTTGATTGTGGTATTATACGTGCCCATGCTTTACATCCAAATATTTTTATTTTATTCATTGGATATTCTCTGTTTCTTATCTTTGCAGGTACTTTGTTGTTTATAGCTGAGCATGGAGATCTGTTTATGAGAAATGTCGATGTTAATACAGCGTATCCCCATAGGTATCTTGGCAGATTAGACTCATCTAGAATAGTTCTTGCTTTATCATATACAGTGTGAGTCACGTTAAAGTGTACATATGAAAATAGATGAAACTAGACCTATTTTTATCGACAAAAAAGTGGTCAAAAATTTTTTGAGATTTTTTTTTAATTTTTTATAGAATTTTTTTTCTTCAAATTACTTATTGTAAAGAAAACGTAATAACTTTTAAACTAAGCAGAATATCCTGATAAATTAAAAACAGTAATAATGCTAAATAACAGGCGATACTAAAAAAATACATACAATACACAAAAAATGCCAACAAGTAATAAAAAAATATACTTTTTGAAAAAAATCTACTTAAAAATTCGTGTTTTTTTGGTTATTTGATAAATTTCTCCAAAAAATGCCGTTATAACAGGTGGTTTTTATTGTTGTGTATTATTCTCTATCGTATTACCTTTGTATAACCAACAATTGCATGTGTCTATCCCTATCACAACATTTGCTATGATCGTTTGAACAAAGGCCTGCCACAACATTATTCTNCCCGCCGCGCCCGCCGCCTCGCCCGCCGCCGACTACAAGCCCGACTCCAAGCGCGGCGAGGTGTACGTGTGAGCGGTGCCGAGTGCCTTACCCAATTATGTGATCGCCAATGTTATGTTTTAATTTGACTGAAGTTGATTCTATTTAATATATAACGAATTGAATGAAAGCTTGTGAACTCGATCGGATTACCGTTAGGTTAAATAATTAAAATAATTATAAGTAGACAGGGATCGAATTGTATAGCTTTCTATAAAGTATTTTTTTATTTTATACATGTGTTTTATTTCCCATCATTAATCTAGCTTGACAATTATTCCCAAGTTGGTAGTGTAGGCGTAGTCATGGAAGTATGGTATAGTATTTATTTATTAGGAATACCAAGGTTTATTTTATTTTATTGGTTCACCGGCAACTAATTTCCTGTAATTTCATAAGTCTTGGTTGGATGAATCCAAGAATTAAGTACACACCTACTACACAGTCAACGCTAGACTGTAAACTGTTTGTATACCTAACCTATTACAAAAAATAAATCGCAGATACACTCCACATCCATAAACATAATATGGATCTTAAAATACAAAATGAGATTAAATGAGAAATACAAAATATTTTACTTAGGGACTACACATCAAACAGAGAATGGGCAGCAGCGCTCTCTGAAAAACATCAATCTTTTAAACTGCGATCTCCAACCCGCCTGCCAAGCGTGGAGATTATGGCAAAACCCTCCACTATAGTGGAGGAGGCTCATAGTCCAGCAGTGGACTGTAAAGGGCTGTTAATGATGATGATGACAAAATATTTTAATGCTATTTAATTTTTTTAACAAGCTTATGAATTGGTTGGTGCAACCTATTTGCTGTAACCACCACTGCTACACATGAAAAACTGCTACTGCTAAATATGACATAAACTTTAACTTTAACTGCTATAAATGGTGCAACTCAGTCTAAGTACAGAATATTTTGAATTACATGTACAGGGTGGCCCAGAAGAAAGTTCACTTTTCAAAATTCAAGGAAACGAAAACTGTACATTTTTGTAGAACTTTGACTATCGCAATTTAAAGGAAATTTAGTGCAATTTATTTGAAAATTTACTTTCTTTTATAAATTTTATCGTACATGTGATTCCTTTGACGTTTACAACATTCGGTCAACATACATAAGAATTTTGGAAAACTTTCGTTAGAGTTACCTCGAAACGGATTCAGGATGAATGAATGCTGCAGTTTTTGGATTATGAGAGTATACTCACTCTGCTCATAAGGTAACCCCACAAAGAGAAGTCTGCTGGAATGAGATTAGCGCTTCTCAGAGTTAGTAAGATTTCACCCCTGCTTAATTGGTTGATTGTGGATGTTACATTAAGAATAGAGTATGTACTTTTATAATCCAACAACCATGTAGCAACTAAAGCTGAGCATTCGGCAAAAAATAGGTTTCGAGGTAACTCTTAACGAACGCATTTCAAGATTTTGATGTATGTTGATCGAGTGTTGTAAAAGCTTCAAGGAAATCTCCTGGGCGATGTAATTTAATAAAGGTAAATTTAAAAATAAATTTCCTTTAAATTGCAATAGTTAAAGTTCTATAAAAATGTACAGTTTTCGTTTCCTTGAATTTTCAAAAGTGAACTTTCTTCTGGGCCACCCTGTACAAACCTGAAATTTAATTAAATTTTGTCCTTAACAATCAACTGAAGAATGCAATTTCGAAAAAGTACCCATTTATATTAAAGTGAATATTTTATTATTATTTTATTATATAATTTTTATTTATGAGCACTACACCTATGATGACGTTTCAAATACAATAAGTAGGTAAACTATAGTCTTGGGTTATCCATTCATCCGTATCACCTCGCTAGGAGATGAATATTGAAAAATTCTTTCTTACTTAGGCCCAGTTTTTTGATTCATAGTTAAAATAACTAATTGTTAAAATTTGCTACTAATGGTTAAATATTAACAAAATGTAAACCAATAGTTAAAAAATGTACTAAAAGTCAAGCTAACCGTTGTTCGAAAAACATTTTTTTCTGATATTTAAGTAACCACTTGTCATATGACATCTGTCAAATTTAGCTATTGGTTATTTAACTACGAAACAAAAAACTGGGCCTAAAGTGCACCGCTAGATTTGTTAAAATAGAACCTATGTACACGTGCCTTTAGAGTCTGCTATTAACAGACTTTAAGTCAGTCAGTCATTTGTATATCGGTTTCCTTCTAGCTTTCCGCCCGCGGCTTCGCCCGCGTGGAATTTTGTCTGTCACAGAAAAACTTTATCGCGCGCGTCCCTGTTTCAAAAACCGGGATAAAAACTATCCTATGTTCTTTCCCGGGACTCAAACTATCTCTATGCCAAATTTCATCAAAATCGGTTGCGAGGTTTAAGCGGGAAAGCGTAACAGACAGACAGACAGACAGAGTTACTTTCGCATTTATAATATTAGTTGGGATTTATTTGGATAGAAAGAAGATTAGTTACCTACTTATCTATATGAATAAAACTAACAAAGTATAATGAAAATAATGTATAAAAATGACTTGTGAAAACCGTTTAAATTAAAATACATAGCTAGCTTCCGAACAAATTCTCGTAAAGTATAGGTAGGTACAGCATTTTGAGAAAGTCCAAAATGACTTTCTAAACCTTGTGATACCTCGAGGAATGGTAGGTAGGTAACTACCTATCACTTGTTTTGAAAGTCATTAAGAGCGTTTACGTCTAGCGTGGCATGTCAAGTTTAGGTAATTTCGATGCTAGTTTTATTCACACTAAAATAATTATGACTGTGTGCGTGTTCTCACGCTCTATAGTCAAACCAAAATACTTTGATCCACCATCGTAAAAGTGTGCCAGGCTGTCAAGTGACAGCTCAAGGAAACTATAAATCTTCAAATCTTCCAACACCGACTCCATAATTATAAATAATGGTATACATTAGTCCTAATCAATAATAAATACGTAAATTCTTTATCAAATAGTAAATTANGAAATTTTCGCAATTTTTCCTATATTTGCATTATATGACAATGCTTTATGCCAAATTTCAAGATTCTGAGTTTACGGGAAGTATCCTGTACGTTTTGATTCCTTTGCGAGTGTCGAAAAGGAGACTGAAACTTCTGGGCCCTAAATGTAACTAGTTGAAATATGGTCTAAAAAAATGGTCATATTTTTCCATACTAAACTACAAAAAATCAGCCTATTTTTCTTTCTGGAAACTGTGTAATAAGAAAAACAAGATTTTTAAGCATTTACTAGTAAATCGATTAAAGAAGTATCGATTTATGTAAATGAGATTACACAATAAAATAAAAAAGGCACGCTTGCTTTATTTTAGGCGAATAACGTAAACAAAATAACTAATTGCGTTGATATAAATATATTGAATTATTTTAGCTCATAAAACATTTATTAATAATGAATAAAAAAAAACATTTAGTTTAATAATCGATTTTTGATTTAAATCGATACTTAAAAAAATCTGATTTAGTCTGTGCACTGAAACTGACAGCTACCTGTCTATTTCTCAGTGTTGCCAGAAGGTTACTTTTGTAACCTTTTAGGTTACTTTTGAACTGCAGTGGTTACTTTTAGGTTTCACTAATGAAAAGGTTACTTTTAGGCGATTTTTCATAAATTGTAGAATTAACTTTTACAAGTAAAAAATATTAATAGTGACAATTTAAAAATTATGTCTTAAAGTGCATTTAAACTTGAATTTGATTTATTATTTGTTACAAAAAAAAAATAGTTTTAGCGAATGTTTTTCGATAATAAAACGCAAATCCATGAAACGTTTTTATACGACTGGATTTTCCATCCATGAACAATCATCGCCCCCCCCCCCCCGTATGAAGGTTACTTTTTATTCAAAAAGGTTACTCTTTTTTATATTTCTGGTAATTTATGACTAGACCCGACTGGCAACACTGCTATTTCTCTATGGATCACTCGTTTCGTATTTTTCGTTTCATGCGTGTGCGTTTTGAGTGCTTTTCCTCCTATCTTTTTGTTTTTTCGCCGACCGCTGCTTTGTTTTACGGATTTTGACCCTACCTGCATTGCCTGAACGACCCCTGCTTTCAACCTGGACTCTGGATCTTGCTTACACGTCTGACTTGGAATGTTTTCTTTGGACTTTACTACCGGCTTAAGAACTGGATATTGACGCTATGGATCGCTGTGTAAATTGTGGAATAGACACTAGTCGCTGCAATGCACTAGGCAGACGATCCATAAACGATGAGTCTACTCTGCATGTGATTCAACAATGGCTTGCACCTCAGACTGTAAGTTCATTAAACAAATNAATTGTGGAATAGACACTAGTCGCTGCAATGCACTAGGCAGACGATCCCTAAACGATGAGTCTACTCTGCATGTGATTCAACAATGGCTTGCACCTCAGACTGTAAGTTCAATAACCAAATCATAACCTAACTCACCATCTCGAAGTTTTCCATCGCTACTATACTTTGAAAATACAATACATTTATATGAATGCTGATGGTTATCTGTTTACATTTTACTGAATATTATTATAATGTATTCTAGTACAAAATAATTGCTGTCAGTTGTTAAAGAAATTGACAAAATGAATAACTAGTACTATTTTTGCAATAAGTCAACACTTTTCAGTAACGTGCTATTGGATACAGTAGTAAACCATTGTACCTAGTGATTTTNCTTAGTGATTTTATTAACTGTAAACTACTGACATTTTAATAATACTGTTTATCTTTTTTAGGTTAATAATAGTGACTATGTTTGCCAAGCATGCTGGGACTTGGCTTAAAGCCGATATAATGATGAAGAAAGACAACTTGGCCACCATAATGTTTGTCTTCGCTGTGGACGTCCTCTTGCTTCAGCACGAGTTACTTATTTACTCCACACTAACTCCCATCGAGAACTGAGAATATATAATGTTATACGAGAGTGGATTACCTATACCTCGAGCTGTAAGTTCACTTTGNATCGGACTGTAAGTTCAATAAACAAATCATAACCTAACTCACCATCTCGAAGTTTACCATCGCTACTATACTTTGAATGAAATTATAATACATTTATTTGAATGCTAATGGTTATTTGTTTACATTTTACTGAATATTATTAAAATGTATTCTAGTACAAAATAATTGCTGTCAGTTGTTAAAGAAATTGATTAAACAAAGTGAATAACTACCTACTATTTTTGTAATAAGTCAATACTTTTCAGTAACGTGCTATTGGATACAGTAGTAAACCATTGTAGGTACTTAGTGATTTTATTAACTGTAAACTCCAACTACTGACATTTTAATACTGTTTATCTTTTTTAGGTTAATAATAGTGACTATGTTTGCCAAGCATGCTGGGACTTGGCTCAAAGCCGATATAATGATGGAGAAAGACAACTTGGCCACCGTAATGTTTGTCTTCGCTGTGGACGTTCTCTTGCTTCAGCACGAGTTACTCATTTACTCCACACTAACTCCCATCGTGAACTGAGAATATATAATGTTATACGAGAGTGGATTATACCTCGAGCTGTAAGTTCACTTTGTGTTTTTAAAGCATTTCAAATAAATCTTTTAAATCCTTAAAAGGTTTTGTCCTGTTGTATTTATTTTATGTTTAACTCTTTTAAGTTATTAGTTAATCTTGCGCACATCATGAAAATGAAATGAAAAAATATTTATTTAAATAGGCACAGGTTACATTTTGCATTACAAAAGAATAAAACGTAATATAATATAAAAAGTAAAAATAATAGTGTTAACAATAAGAGTAAAAAAAGCAAGATGTAGTATCAATAACATGTATGAACATTTATACTTACAAGCTTAATGAATATGATGATCGGTATTGTAGGACATTGCATAAAAATAAATGATAAATCTCTTTAGTATTGCTAGTCAAAAATTAAACCCAAAGTTCAGGATGCAACATAATTATACAATATAATTATCACAATAATCATGACAGAATTAATGATTATAAATGTGTTTTGCAGGTACCAGAAGATGGTCGCATATGTCATACGTGCTGGGTGGCTGCAGACAGAGCTGCTGTCCATATGATCTCAGGACCATCAACTTCATCCCAAGGAATACCCCCTGAAGAAATACAGCCAGAGACACAACATCCAATCACCGAGTCTCCTGATCAAACACAGCCACAGGTACAAGATCTACCTATTGTGCCTGCAAATGAAGGTGTTAATCAACCGGAACCCACTATCGTATTACCAGAATACATGAGAGCTATGGAAACGGAGAATAGGTGCTTCATTGAAGGATGCCAGAGAACAGAAAGGTACAGAGTTCCGCTTTCTACAAGGAAAATGTTATTAAACCAATACAAATATTATATCCCTCAAAATAATCGCCTTTGTGATCAACATTTGGTTATTGAAGCTTGGGATTTTCTGGATAGTTTGAGATCCCATTATCTTCAGACTTTTACTGCTAAACATATCCAGGACATGTTGTCCTTAAAAGAAGTAGTAGATTCCGGACTACTGCGGTTTGAAAACATTGATGACATGGAAGACAATGTTATCCATACATGGATTGGATTGAATAAAGCGCAGTTCAATCAAATGTTCACTGAAGTCCCTCAGTTATTGGAGATACCAAAAGCAACCGTAGCTTTAGCGGCTTACCTAATGAAACTCAGAACCGGTGACTCCAATGAAAGGTTGGCAACTTTGTTAAAAGTTTCTAGGCGAACCCTAGAAAAGTGGCTGCACCAAGTAAGAGATCTTCTCACAGAATATTTTGTGCCAAGAAATCTAGGCCTTAATCACATAAATAGGCAGCAATTGGTAGAAAGAAACCTTTCAATACCTCAATCATTGTTTGGTAACTTTGAAGGAGTTGACAGACCAATTGTCATCTTTGATGGAACTTATTGTTATATTGAGAAGAGTTCCAACTATATGTATCAAAAAAAAACTTACAGTATGCATAAATATAGAAACTTAATGAAACCATTCCTTATGGTTTGTACTGATGGACATATTATTGATGTTTTGGGTCCATATCCAGCCACAACATCGGATGCCGATATTATGAAAAATGAATTTTCAAATGAAACAAAACCATTACGGGAATATTTTAATGAAGGTGATGCCTTCGTATTGGATAGAGGTTTCCGTGATTCTTTACCTTTGTTACACCAATGTGGTTATAGGACTTACGTGCCTGCTTCATTACAGGAGGGTGAAACTCAGCTTTCTACAGCTGATGCAAATAAGTCGAGAGCAGTCACCATATGCCGTTGGGTTGTTGAGGTTGTTAACGGGAGATTTAAGAGAGATTTTAAGTTATTACGTCAAAACTATTTTAATGTAGCGAGTAGAAGTTTTATGAAAGATTTTGAGGTGGCTGCTTCTCTTTTAAATATGTTTCACCCTCCCATAGTAGATCGTGTAGATGCTGGGGAAATAATTGAGCAAATAAATATTTTCATGAACACCGAAAACGAATTGGCAGATTTTATTATAACAAACAATTATAATAGGCGTCGAGCCAACTTTGAAACAATTACTGTACAAAATGACAACTTGAATGATTTTCCTCAGCTCACACATAGTCAACTTATACTAATTTCTTTGGGCACATATCAAATAAAGCAGGCACGCTCCTATTATGGTGAACATGTACGAGGGAATGATGGTTTTGTAATAGAAGTGTGCAGGGAGGTCAGCAGCAGCCTACTTCGAGAGCTGTCTGCTTCTAATACATCGTGGCTACTTCGAGGACGAATTCAGTCCAGACATATTAGTCGAAAAACATATTTTATTTATATTTTAGTCGACAGCTCTCGAAGAGGAAGGGAAGCAATACTAAAACATTATTGTAACTGCATTGTAGGCAGACGAACTGTAGGCTGCTGCGCCCATATCATGTCGATAATATGGTACCTTAGCTGGGCGAGGTACCAAGACCATTTAGTACCACCTGCACAGTTCTTAGATGATATTTTAATTATTATAGAAGAAGAATAAAATTTAATGAAAAAATATTTATTTAAATAGGCACAGGTTACATTTGGCATTACAAAAGAATAAAAGCAAGATGTGTTAACAATATGAGTAAAAAAAGCAAGATGTAGTATCAATAACATATATGAACATTTCTACTTACAAGCTTAATGAATATGATCGGTATCGCAGGACATTGCATAAAAATAAATGATAAATCTCTTTAGTATTGCTAGTCAAAAATTAAACCCGAAGTTCAGGACACAACATAATTATCACAATAATCATGACAGAATTAATGATCATAAATATGTTTTACAGGTATCCATATGTCATACATGCTGGGTGGCTGCAGACAGAGCTGCTGTCCATATGATCTCAGGACCATCAACTTCATCCCGAGGAATACCCCCTGAAGAAATACAGCCAGAGACACAACATCCAATTACCGACTCTCGAAGTGGAATGGAAGCAATACTAAAACATTATTGTAACTGCATTGTAGGTAGACGAACTGTAGGCTGCTGCGCCCATATCATGTCGATAATATGGTACCAAGACCATTTAGTACCACCTGCACAGTTCTTAGATGATATTTTAATTATTATAGAAGACGAATAAAATCATTAAGTAAAGAAAAATGTTTTACTATTATTTTTTAACATCCTATCCATCACCTTGTCATTCCTGTCGTCTTCAAAATACACATAAGGTACAAATCCAAGATGGACTTCAGGCCGCAAACTGCAAACCTCTATGAAATCTGCAGAAATCGCCGCAGCTGCAAGCCGCAGTGGGGATTTCATACAGATTTTCTGTTTGCGGTTGCAGTCTGCAGTCTGCAGTCCATCTTGGACTTGTACCTTTAGGCCGCAAGCTGGACGACTGCAGGCACGGGCGCGCTTGCGCTTGTGTGTACCTATGGGTTGCGGTTTGCGTGACTTGGTTGACTCATATACGCCAGAACTCGCGTCCGTAGTGGTCCAGTTTTTTGTGGCCTAAATATAACGTAAAAATACCTTTTTCACCTAAAAAACAGCTGATTTCTAAACTAGAAATCAGCTGTTTGTTACATAACCTCACTTTAACTAAACCCCTAATAATTCTGCTCACAGATAGCCAAAACACGCATAATTTTTAGTGAACATCTGCAAAGTATTAAGCTATTAATTTACACAATTTTTATCTTGTTACATCTTGGCCCAGATTTGTATGTAACTGTTTCCATCTCCTTTCTATTGTAGGTATTTAATAGTTGAAAGCATTTCTATGAAACACACCAAACAAATTTTCCCAATGAAATATAAACTGTCAATTACTTTTAAAACAAAAAAAGAAAAAGTACACAAAAAATTTAAATAAATAGTCCGCTTTGTTAAATATAATATGGTGTCAAGAACCCAATTAAGTACACTTTTAATATTATAAGCCAAAGCCAACCAACTATCAGCTAAGCATAAATTAACGGGGAACCGTGACGAAGTTCAAAATCCGCGGTCGCTCGCGGCATAACTTGGTATCGGTTTAATAAACTTTGCTGACGAACGCTACACCACACTGTTGTGATTGGAGTAACACCAAGCAACCCTGTAGCGACTTAAATGAAGGTATTTTCTACATAGAGTTTGAGGTAACATAATAAAAGTAGGTTATACTCGTATTTCCTCAGCAAGAGTAATTTCATTTGCACAAATAACAGAAGGAAAATAAAAAGTTAATGTGCCATATGGAAAGCCCACAGAAAGCCTCTCTCTTAGTTATTAAGACATCATAAAGAATACTCCAACACTGTTTTTCAGCAATTTCAGCGGATTCTGTAGCTTCTTTTCAGCTGTAAATATTCGTATTGCGTGAATTATGTCTTTAACTAATACAAATAGTGTAACTAAAGCAGGCTCTTTAAAATAAATCAAATTTTAGGTTTTGCGATGAGATGTAAATAAACACTTCAATATCACTTAAGTTTTTCCGAATTGTGGAGCAATAAAGAATTGAGTATTGAAGAGTCAAGATGACTTCTTTTATTCATCGTCACTCTGCTCTGACGACAACACAAAAGGAGATAATTTCGTATCACCACATTTACGCTTTTCTCCTTTGGGAAAATTCCAGTCCCTGCGTCTAAATAATACATTTTGATGGCGTTCATCTTATGCATACGCTCCGGAGTACTCGTATAATAAAAATATCTCAAACGCCCCAAAACACGAGTGAAACGAGTGGGTGTTAATGTGAAGAGGAATTTCTTGAATACAGATGAGATTTTTATCTTAAATTAACTGAAGGGGAAACAGCTAATGAATAACAGGGCAACGAGAAACTAGGACTTGCACCATTTCTCAGTAAGTATTCAAGACTTTGTATGCTACTCGTAGATAGTAAAAACTGGTCAAGTGCGAGTCGGTCCAGGCTCAGAAGGTTCCGTATTCCTACCCCTCTCCAACGTCTTTTACGGTGCTAATCTTTCTTTCTTTCTTTGATACAAGTGACTAAAAATTGCAAATTCTCTTTTCTTGCGTTTTATTAATAAACTTAGAGGCTTGATCTTTCTTACAAGATCATGAAGATTTCCAAGAGGTTTTTTCCTTTTCCATCAGAACTCTAAAAACTATTCCACGATCATAGTTTCATGTTAGTAAATAACATAATAATTTTATAACAAAGTAGTTACTAAGATCTTTTATTGAATAAAATAAAAGGCCCTGAAAAATAACCCTGGAATCATGATACAAACCCATGGTTTGCTGAATGACAATCTTATAAATGAAATTAATGTTTATTCGCTTATATATCGTTTGCCAACTAACTACAGTGACTTGGATCTATCGTGTCTATGTATTTTCATTTGTGACTGTACCAAGTTGTTTTTGTTCTTCAAATAATGCTTCAGTAGTGAAAATGTTTACTACAGTAATTACATTTGCCAACTGATCCATTATAGACTAGCGGTCCCATATGGTACCACTTTTTTGTGTGTTTTAATTTGGCTCCATACATTAACACGTGAAAAGATGCAGTGCTCTGATTGATGCAAGTCGTAGCCAATAGACATGGTCTATGCTTCTAGGAATAAAAATTGACAGTTAATCTTTTTCAGTTGTGTGTAATTGATGAATGAAGTGAGTGCATCAAAATTTTCTCTTAAAAATTGACGCGCCATTCAAGTGACTGATCATTATTTTTTTGTGTGATAGTGAAATACTAATTTTGTTACAATTTTGTATTCTCCATAAGTGCTCTTATTGCGAAATGGTGTAAAATTACATCGATAGGTAATAATAATGAGAAATATTGCATGTCAAAATTACTGGTACCGTACGGTACCGCTAGCCGCTTACCGTGTCTTTTTAATTATTTTATGATTTTTAATTTTTACTATATTTATTGGGAAGTATGTCATATATTCAATGGTATATAAGGTATACAGGAAGATAAAGTAAAATAGTTTCCTATACTTTACAAAACCATGGGTTTTTATTAATTTTAGAAGTAATTTAAACGAAACATAGGCAGTTTTGGAGGACGACGAAGATCCCAAGACGAAGAAGATATTTATAGAACGAACTCAAGATAATTGCAACTCTCGAGCAATATTAGAGTATGTGCAGCGTGCAATGCCAAGCTCCATTCTAAATTTTTGAATATTCAAAGACAAAAATGAATATTTCTTACCCATTATACAGATTGTTTTACATTTTATTTCACTCCTGTTATTTGTATGTATATTAATACATATTATAATCATAATAAAATATATAATTTACCCTGTTTTTATAAAGTCCAATGATAAAGTTATGTTTTAACCGATTGACACGTGAAAAGATGCTAGCGGTACCATATGGTACCAGCTTTTTTTTTCTAGATTACAGGTCGGATCATTTTTTTAATGATTGTATAGCATTATGTAGACCATAATTAAGAACATATTTAAAAAAAACAAAAATCGGACACTTCAAGAAAACTCAGTCTATAAATGGGTTAATTTTAAATGTGAGCTCTTACCCGATTGCCACTGCAAGGTTAATGCTCTTTTCTGTGAGAAAAAGGAATTAAAATTCATTTGAAATATAAAACATGAGATTTCGTATAGTTTAATTTTGTTAGACTTGCCTTATATTAAAACAGAAGAATTTCATTTTGTCTTATATTGAATTATCACGAATAAATTTTCAAATCGAAAGAGATAATGAAAGCATTTTTTCTCAAACAACTAGGTACATAGTTTGCGAACTAGTATGTACCAATATAATATTCACGCATGCTTTTCGGACATAATCCTTTGTTTCTGAATCTTATAAGAATTGGAAACTCTACGTTAATTTTATGAGCATAATTACCTAATACCTATTTATGACTTCAATAAAAATATTTTTGATAGTTTCGAGTGAGTGCACTCGACATGGGTACACTTTAAACCTACTGGTTTGGGACAATGTATGTGGTGGTCTTACTTTGTAACAAGTTAGTAAAGTTCTAATGTATCTAGATAGGTATATTCTGCTCTTTTAGGTACAATGGTTTCGTAGGGTCTACTAGAAAAATTGAGATAAAGAGGCTCATCCCACACAACAGATTCTGTCTAAAGTACACAAACGAAATGTGTATACGTGGGCTATTATGAAAAAACACAGCAACCAACTATACCAACATCAAAACTAAAGAAAAATTTCGTCATACTACATCACCAATTGCTGTTGAGAGATTTTTTTCCAAGATTCCGTCTAATTATAATTAAACCGCACTATAAAGGCTGTAACAACCTTGTGCAATTTATTCAGATTCATCCTATGAATGTGAATAAATTGCACAACAAAAAGGGGGAATTCTTTCCCTTCAAAGTGAGAGAGATAGTAGGGTGAAAGACATTTAAATCGTGAAGTGTAGAGCCTCAGGTTAGGATTTAGTCTTTTATCGCCCCTCGTCACAAACTGTCACGTACTTGAAGTGCTCCCGGGATTTCAACATTGCATAAGCTCTACATAAGGACGTGACAAATGATTACTACATATTTCATATTCATGTTTGTATAAATATCACTTAATCATACTAAGTACGAATAGGAGCTAGATATTTAGAAAACAGTGACACATTTTTTATACATAAGGAATAAGGAATTTTGTTTTAAAATACCATGAGATAAAAAAAATAATTAGACTGAAAGTATTTAATTTCAATTATACTGTCAGCAGACTCTACCAATAAGTACTAGACCCACGTGCCTATGACCTAAGCCACCCCCTAGTAAAGAGTAAATCCAGTGTCATTCAATAGAACACATAAGACCCGGATAATACGTCACATAACACATAATTCTAGCTGTAACAGGAACATAGTACCTAACGGTTTATGGCCCACAGTTGCAAAGAGAGCCCTAAAAGATNTTTACCAAGTGTTATACCATTTTGGAATCCTTACT